ACTTTTTTAATAATAAATATTCACTTAAATCGGTAATAAATTTGATTTAGAAAATTGATATTTAACAAATTCTTCAGATAATAAATAAATTTTCTTCCCATCAGGCTCTATATAAAAAACTTTAGAGAAAGACAATTAATGTTTGCTCTCTTCTTACGCTGATACGAGGTTCCCGAATCGTTGATGTCTTTAACATCGATGATACGGCTACGACCCTGTCTCGCCTCGAATCGTTGTAGCAAACGTCTCAAACATAAAGATTTGGACTGACTAAAGTTTCTCTCTCTCTCTCTCTCCCTCTCTCTTCAGTGGGTGGTTTAATAAAAAAAAGAATTTCGAACGCCTCGATACTTATGATAAGCAATCACTTAATGTGATTGCTTCTAAACGCAATCTCATTTTCGAAATTCTTTTTATAAAAATAAATAAAATAAAATAAAAATAAAATAAAAAATATTTACTTTTTATTAAAATAATCTGTGATACATTTGATATTATTAGTTTCTAATTTAAAATTTTCTTCTTGCGCTTCTTGTAATGAACCAAGTTTAGCTAATTTATCAGCTTGTTCGTTACCATAATTTCCCCAGTGACCTCTAACATGAACTAATTGAACTGTACCTATCCTATTGTCAATAAGTTTTTTTAACCTTTTGATTAAATCTTGATTTTTGACCGGCGTGTTTTTATAACTCATATATCCATTTTTTTCCCATTTTTCGACCCAATCTTCAATTATATTAATTACATATTTACTATCTGTCATTATTTCTAAAGGTTTTGTTTTATTTTTACAAGCTTCGAGAGCTCTAATCACAGTATAAATTTCAGCACGATTGTTAGTTTGTTCCGATCCTAGTAATCTTTCGCTTAAATTATTGGGATCATTATCTTTCCAAAATACTCCAATACCTGCTTGAGCTTTTGTTGTACCGTTATTAAATGATGATCCATCTGTTCAAATTTGAATTTTACTATCATTTAAAATCACAGAAACTTCACGTTTTCCTTCAATAAATTTTTGAGCTTCGATACGAGTAGGAAATTTTTTATACATAGCATTACGAAATTTATTAACTTGCGCTTTACATTCGTCCCAAGTTAAATAGATTCCTGGTTTCCTGCCTTTACGAACAGCATAATATCCTGGTTTGGTTTTTGGCATCTAAAAAAAAAAATTGAATCGGTCGGTCGGTCGATCGATCGATCAACAATAGCCAGTCCAGTGAGAGTTAGTACAATGTGAAGAAAGCGAATTCCTAAACAAGATACGGTTGGAACCCTCTCACCTTAAAATAATAAAAAATTGCACAAAGAAAGATCTAATCGGTCCTGGACTGATTAGATGATTGTTTATTGGAATTGAGAAAAATTACAAAGATAG